AGGTGAAATCCAACAGACACATCAGGTCCAGCTACCAGTGCAGCTGTGACCTCCATACAGTTATTTCAGAGCTAAAGCCACTGATTTTGTGCATGTCCTTAGCACCAGAGAAGCCCAGATGTGTCTACCTTCCCAGGTGTCAAACTTGATGCTCTCTAGATGGCATCTTGATTGCTTGAATCTTCACCGATCAAGCCACCAGGGCTGGATGGCTTCTGCTGTTCAGTCCACCCAGCCTCTCCCTATCATGCCAGGGTGTGTTTGCTGAGACCAGTGTGTTTTCATCATGCATTTCTCCACCAGATAGTGAAAAGAGCCACTTAAGCTTGCTGAAAACAACGTTGTCAAGCTAATAACTCAGCCATTTAAGAAAGGAAAAACAAAAGGCGGGTTGAGCTGTCTGGACAGAGTCACTGCTCAGTGCCATCCTGGGCAGTGAGGACAAGACATCACTGTCCTGCTGGCAGGGAATCCCCTCCTGCCTGCAGCTGCCACACATATCCCCATCTTAGAGATGGTTAGGACTACTGTCCCCTCCAGAAAACTGATCATTACCCATAAACTAAATAAAAGAGGAAAAGAGTCCATTTTCACATTGAACTATTGCTTTTCAGGTTTACTGTTTCTACTGCGAGAAGCACGTGTCAGCATCACAATCCTTTCTGCAGTTGTTTTACAAGTTCTTGTGACTTTCATAAGTGATGTATCAAAGATTGTACAGGAAATGTTCAACTCAAAATTCCCATTGCATTAAATTCCCCTTTGGTGGGATGCTGCAGTGTCATCTGCCCTTTTCTTACTCTACCTCCCATTTCACACTGAACTACCCTGTACTTAGTTGGAGACATTTCACTCTACAAGAGTATAAAGAACAATTTCCCGCAGTTTCCATTTTAAAAAAAATCTGTTCTGCCCCAGGAAAATATTAGTATTCGACTATATTTAAAGCAGGGAAGTTCCTCTTTCACTTTTGAAACCTGTTTGCTCATACTGAGTCCGGAAGGTTCAGCAAGCATTTCTTTTCCTTACAACCTGCTTTCTAGCCAACTCATCCAGATTGTCTGGCCTTTGCTGCTCAGTCTTGCTTTCATTAAGGGAAGGTAGCGCAAGATAATCCATTTTAGCAACCTGCCTCTCTCTGTAATGGCCTGTGATTTCTTCCTTCTGATTTTCATAGTGCTCATCTGCATTACCCATGAATCATTCAGCACCACAGAGAAAATGTGCACAGAGGTAGCTGACAGTTGCTGGTCCCTCTTGACATACAGGAGCTGTGTACAGTCTCTGGAGGAGACATATGACTGTTTTGGGTTCCTGAGGGATTTCTCTCAGGGGGATCTGAAGGTCTTTATCGGAGTAATAAGGCAGATGTCTTGAGATGTGCTCAGGGACATCAGTCACTGCCCCTCCTCCTCCTCCTCCTTCTCACACCCTCATCTCTGCAGCCTCACATTCTCTCCTACCACTGCTGGGAACTTTGGGAGATTGACAAACCAGCACCGCACTTCACCTGTCAGAGAGCTTGAAGGACAATAAAGTTTCACAGGGGTGTTTAGCAGATATCAAAGCTAGACAGAATGCAGATACCAGGATTTTGCCTCTTGTGCTGTCCTCGACATACAGGAATTTGTACACAGTGGTGGGAGGATGGGGTGTCTATTTGCCACTTGGTCGATGTACAATACCACATGAGAGTGGCAAGAAATTACCAGGGGTTTTCCAGGGGCAGGAGAAAAGGTTGACTCATAAGATTTTTCTTTTCTAAGTGGGAGACAAGGAAAAACAAGACAAGGATTTTGATTCAGGGCAGAAGCACCATGGGAACCCAACCCCACACAGCACACATTTGGAGCCAATTGCAAACTCCTCACTGAGTTAAACATGCAAATCCCTGAGCACTCAGTTGCACAACGGGATCCCCCATGGGATGGTTGCTCCTCAACTCCCAGTGAGAGCCACTCAATACCCTGAAGTGTATGGAGAAAGGTCACTTACTCACTGTTTTATCTGAACAGTAAAACGTAGGTGCTGTTTTCATTTATAGTGACAGCTAAATATTTTTTATCTGTCTAAACCACACACTGCACCAGTCAGCTCCACAGGTGATTCTTTGCTTATCAGTATTAAATCAGATTTTCTAAGTCCATAGTTTGCCATTTCTATAGTTACTGGCACTGAATTATTTCAGTGCTTCTAGGCTGGACTTGAGTACCCATGCTACAGGCAGTGTTGTCACAGCAGGGACTTGGGCTGACTTTCTGCCCCCCAGGTTGTGCCAAGCACTCACGCATGGGGGACTCAGCCCTGGGCAGCACTGGCTTGTCCCTCCCTACCAGTGCCATCCCCAGTGCCTTCATCCAGCACTGAGCTCCAGACAGGACTCAGCATGCGAGGGGGAGCAGGACAGCGGAGAAGCTGCACTCCCCACTCCCCACCCATGCAGGGCATTTTGTTGTACCAATCCCCTTCCACTTCCTCCCAGCTCTGCCATGCTGCTGCCAGCATCTCTCTGCAGCTCTCCTGGTGCAGCTGTGTGGGGCCATGGCATTCCCACGTGCACCCCGGCACCCTCTGGTTATGGGATTTGTGCTTAAAAGGGAGAAAGTGTTCACCATATTCAGCTTGTTGTCTGCAAGAAAAACTGCTCTTCTTACCCCTCCAGCAGGACTGCTGAGTGCTGTCACTGCCTGCTTGCCCCTCCTGAGCCACAGATGGGCAGAGACAGTGTTTGATCTCAGACACTCATGGTCCCATGTAAACAGAAAGACCCAAACCCCATGCACCATTCCCCAGGGTCCACACATATGCAGCTGTTCAAAACAACATTGAGCCACGTGCCTCTGCCCCACAGGGCACACACCTGCACTGTCCAGGCTCCCATGCATTTCTCTCTGGACAACACACTGACATCTGTGCATGCTTTCTTCCAGCTCATAGAAGGGCTTTGAATCTAATTTAAATTGTTAGATTTGCCAATACGTGCAATTATTGCATTTATTTCCCTGCAAGCAGAATGTCTCCAGACTTCCTGGCAGGATACTGCCAGAGGTGTAGCTCCCACATGGCCCTGGGGATGCCTTCCCTCCCACACTTGCCCTGTGACCACACAGGACAGGTCATCCCCTTTCCCACTGGGAACCGGGCTGGGTGAGGAGGAGGCTGATCCTGCGCTGGCTGCACCCATGCTCCCCATCGTGGCTCTTCAGTTGAGACAAGTGTGATATTTGAGCATCTCCCTGCCTCAAGTGACACAGCAGGCTATTTCAGGGTAGCACTTCCCTCCATGCCATAGTCCCAGGCTCTGGTTGACTTTCATGCAGTCACCAGGCAAAGGCATGTCAGGCACGTTTGATGAATTTCCCAGGTATCCACAGAGTAGAGTTCTCTATATAAGAGATTGATTTATTTTCAGTTAAACTGAAAATCCTTCATAGAAATTTTAAGGACTTGGTGTACAAGATACGGTCTTTGTCTAGACTTAGCTAAACCTTCCTGCCATCCTATTGATGCAGTATGTAACTGCAGTTCAGATCCAACTCATTTGGACATGTTGCTTCTAGAAACATTCCCATACCTGCTCTTTTTTACCTCCTCTCTGCAAGGTCTTCTTAAGACTTTTCTTAGAATAAGATTTGTTACAAGACTTAGGAAACTCAGAATTTAAAACTACCTTGTGGGGATCCTTTGTTAGGGATTAATAATTCATCCAGAAGAGTAAACAATCTTCACATGTGCTAACTTTGATAAGAAAGTACTACAGATGAGACACACTTCAAATTAATAGAAGAGATACTCAAGGCATTCATTTTAAAAACACACTCCACAAAACCCTAGGGTTATGCATTGCAAGCCTATCTGAATCTTCCCAGGGTTCTAGGTTCTAGCTGCTGAGTTTTTTGATAATTCAAAATCCTCTTTGGTTTTGTTGGTTTGGAGTTTTTTAGTGCAATAGTTTCCTATTTATATTCTCAGTACATACCTCTTGCAGTTTCACTATATATTTTTCACAGGTTACAGTAAATAAAATCTATAGCTGTGAAGGTTTAGGACTGAGGGAGATTCCTGAAAAACTATCTGTCACAACAGAAATCCTTGACTTCAGCTTCAATGTGCTCCCTTCCCTCCAGAATTCAACCTTCTCTAAGATGAAGTGTCTTCTCTTCTTGGACTTAACACGGCATGGAAGGAGCATCCTCACTTCTGCACATCACATTGATGAAACCACTTGTCCCTTGCCAGAGCCAGAGGCCTCTGGAACACACAACAGGAGCATCTCCCTGCCTTCATAGGGAAACCAGTAGTAGCACTTGCAGACAGCTGGTGAAGTATTTTGCTAAGCAGAGGTTGATCAGTTTATGCAATACCTAGGCTTCTTCTCCACAGGACAGCAGGTGAAAAATGCATTTTCCAGATATTACTGGTGCTAAGACAGTAGTGACAGCAAAATCACTATAGTAATTTTTTAATTCACTTTTTTATATTGTTCCCTAAAACCTAGGGAAAGACAGGATTGGTCCTTGGAAATGCCCAGGTCTTTCTATAGGAAAACAGATTTTCATTTTATTAAGCTGGACACTAAAAACCTCATGTCTCCAAGACTTCCACAAATACTTATTCACCCCCATCATTTCAGGGTAGTTTTTAATTCTTACCAGGACCCTGTATTTAAATGTGAATTTACAAGTGCCAGGCAAGTGTCACTGAAAAAATTTAATTTTATCCTAGTGAAGGCAATTGATCATGAGTTTTTACAGATATGAAGTGCAGTTTGGGTTATCACATATAGTGGGAGCGTTTTATGAGACATGACATTGATACTGGTTTCTGTCGGTTTCTCAAGGTGTCAGATCAACTGGGTGTATGACAGTGCCTTTCACAGCAACAGGCAGCTGAAGACAATCATGCTGACTGGAAACCTGCTCTTGTTTCTGTCTGACACAACGTTCACTGGCCCATGGTCTCTGAAGCAGCTTGTTTTAACATAGACAGGAATAACCAGTATGTCATTTATTCCAATAACAAATCTGTACAGCTTGCATGCCTTCATCTTGGGCACCAACCACATCTCTTCACTGCAGCTTCCTCCCAGCTTTCCCACTCAAAACCTCAAATATGTTGACTTTCAAAAGAACAACATAAGAGCAATCACAGCAGAAGATATCTGCATTCTGCAGAAGATCAGCTTTATCTTTAAGGGCAATGACATTATATACATTGAATCTGGAGCTTCCCAGTCCCTTTTCTACAGTTTGGACTTTAGGGGCTGTGCTGACATCTCTGAGGTCCTGGCAAGTATACAGAACTTCACAGCCCAGACCCTTTGGCTGGGAACATTTCACGGTGTGCAAAAGAATCCCTACATAAGCCCAAATGTTTTACAATGCCTCTGTAATATCTCTGTCAAGGATCTCTATCTGCAGCTATGGCAATTCCAAAACCTAAACGCTGACATATCAGTGCTTGACCAGGCTTTGAAAACTAGACCTAACTCAAACCCACATCAAAGCACTGTACCAAGCATCAGTGGCATGATCTCACTAGTTCTCAATGTGAATTCCTTTGAGCACCTCCGCAACATCAGCTCTGCTGCCTTCACCTCTCTCACCCACCTCTACATCAAGGGGAACTTGCAGGTCCTGCAGCTGCACTATGGCTGTTTGGAGAAAGTGGCAAAGCTTCATCATCTTGATTTAAGCAAGAGTCATACAGAAAACAGACTGCTCGAATGAAGCACTGAGTGGTCTGAGCAGTCTTCGCTACCTCAATCTGAGCCATAACATAAAGCTCCACCTCCAAGACCTGCTCATTAAGGATGATGCTAACCTAGAGCTGCTGGACCTAGCTTTCACTCCTCTTCATATCAACACCTCTCAGGGTCCTTTTCGAAATTGACATCTCTTGCAATTGCTGAATCTTTCCTCTTCCCACATAAACTCAACACCTCTTTCAAGGCCTGGAAAACGTCATGCTCTTGGACCTTAGTCAAAATACCTTTGAATCAGGGGTCATGCCAAAGAACAAACTGTTCTAACAGCTATCTAATTTAGAGGTGCTAATTTTATCACCCTGTGAACTGATAGCAATAGGCAACCAAGTATTTCACAGCCTCAAGAAGTTACAGCATGTTGATCTAAGCAACAACAAACGTAGAGTATTCAAGCACAGATGTATTTTCAAGCCTCAAGAGCATCTACCTAAATTTTGCCCACAACAGGATCCAATATTGTACCACATAACAAGCTAGTATCCCTAGCTGGACACTGTGGAATCAATTTAAGTTGGTTGCAAAAACAACCCTCTGGACTGCACCTGCTCCAGTATTGGTTTAATCACCTGGTAAAAGCAGAATCTGGATAAAATTGAAGACCCTGAGGTAGTGAGATCACAGAATCATCTAGCTTGGAAAAGACCTTGAAGATCATCCAGTCCAACCATTAACCTAACACTGACCATTCTCAGCTACGCCATATCCTTAAGTGCTATGTCAATCCTACTCATAAACACCTCCAGGGATGGGGACTCCACCACCTCCCTGGGCAGCCCATTCCAACACCTAACAACCCTTTCTGTAAAGAAATGCTTCCTAATATCCAGTCTAAACCTTCCTTAGCACAGCTTGAGGTAATTCCCTCTTTTCCTACCGCTTGTTACCTGGTTCAAGATACTCATCCCCAGCTCTCTGCACCCTCCTTTCAGGGAGCTGTAGAGGGTGATGAGGTCTCCCCTCAGCCTCCTCTTCTCCAGACTAAACACCCCCAGTTCCCTCAGCCGCTCCCCGTACGACCTGTGCTCCAGACCCTGCACCAGCTCCGTTGCCCTTCTCTGGACACGCTCGAGTCATTCAATGTCCTTTTTGGAGTGAGGGGCCCAAAACTGAACACAGGAATCGAGGGGCGGCCTCACCAGTGCCGAGTACAGGGGTCAGATCCCTTCCCTGTCCCTGCTGGCCACGCTATTGCTGACACAAGCCAGGATGCCATTGGCCTTCTTGGCCCCCTGGGCACACTGCTGACTCCTGTTCAGCCAGCTGTCAATCAGCACCCCCGCTGACTGGGCCTGAGCGTCTGGTTGTCCATTATATGACTTTTAACAGCACCCAAGATGACCTGCTGCATGACCTTCCCTGGCACTAAGGTCAGACTGGATTGTCCTTTCTGCCTTTCTTGAGATGCTCTGAACCCAAATCACTAGCTGGGTCTCAGCTGGTCACCATCTCGCTTTCCTCTGGGATCAACACGTCATTGCAGGAATCTTTGCTGTTGTCCTAGCTATTTTATGCTGTGTTGCCATTGTCATTTGGGGTGCTCACTATTTGAAGTGAAATTACCAGCAAATGTAAGTTTATGATGGAGATATGGAAAAGAACTGTAATAATTTTGTTAAGATAAAGGACAACTTCCTGGTTTTGTATGACCTGTATTTTGTTAACTTTTGTTAAGAAATAACCGTTCTCATTTGTATTATAACTTTTAGAAAAATAATGAAAAATTTTTATTTGAGAATTGCAAAAACAAACTATGATCTGAGCCTTGAATATGAGTAACTTCTCTTATAGAGAAATGCCAGTTTAGCTCAATGTTAGCCATGATCTCTCAGCTACTATGGCTAATGCACCTGTAAAGAAAGATCCCAGGGCTAGATGGCAAACCTTGTTCTCTTCAAAAAACCAAAATCAAACCACCGCTACTTCCAACAAAAAAACTTCCCAACCAACTAAACCCCCACTCTCTTTCAAATGCCCTTGAAAAACAGTGTTGTTTAAGAGCTGGCAGTAGCATACCCTGCTGTGCTAAAAAGAAAAAAAATTACTTTCTGTGAAGAACAGGCACAGCATTTGTAGTCACGTATGACCTACTCCTGCAGGACTGACAGAAACAGCCTCTATCATCTCTCCAATTTCTTTAAAATATTTTGATCCTGAGAAAGTTCATGGCCACTGAACCTCTGTCCCAAGGCAGGCCTTGCTCCTGTACTATTTACTAGACTCCATAGTAAGCAGGACTAGCAACAATTTCAGCTTTAACCATAAAACCGGTAGACTTGGTCAAGAATCTGGGTGCTTGGCACTATGCTTTGCTTGCACAGGACAAGTAAACACCACCAACAGCTATGACACTTTCCTGTGCCAGCCTGGAATGGACTGTTTCCCCCAGCAGAAGTTCAGGATCAAAAACTAGAGACTGCAAAAGGCGTGATGCTGTGGGGAGCAGCAGCCTCATCCCATGGGTGCTCCTGGTGCTAACAGCTACTTCACTTTGCTTCTGGTCTGTGTCCGTGAAATCAGAATCTCTTTGCTCCAACGGGATATGCAACAGCTAGGCAGGAAAAAAGGACAGATTTCTTCTTATTTACTTTTACTAAACAACCAAATCCCTTTGTCTGCCATCACATGTGAATAAACCCAGTGACAAGAGAGTACACACATTTGACCCAGGGTCTGATGGGAGCTTGCTGTGTGTACTTATCTACCCTGTGTTACCATAGCATGATAACATGACAGCTGCTTTTCCCATTGTTTTTCTCTTAAATCTGTGGGCTCAGGAAAGGGACAGACAAACGGTGAATTTAAAAGGGCGCATGACATAGTTCATAGCTTAGGACAGGCACAAACAAAATTGCTGCAAGTATCAGGTAGTAACTGCGGCAGATCCACAAGTAGCGGTGACTTGAAGGCAAAATTGCATGTTGGGCTGTTGCTTTGTGAAATGTCTCTTTGGAGAGGAAGACAGGATTTAAACACTACCGGTTTCTGAAATCCTACTATGTCATGGCATAGACTCATGTGTAGACTGAAGTCAAAGATGGCTGAAAAGACAAAATGGTGGTGTTCCTGTGTGATATATATTTGCACACAGGGTATTAAGTATAGTCTTTCCTGTGATCCATCCATATCCCTCTACACAACTGGTTTTTGATGACTGTGTCTTCATCTATTGTCATTTTTCTCTTTAATTTGCAGTGTCCTCTCTGCTTTCTTATTTGTCTGCAAAATGCCATTCATGACACTATGTAAGCAACACTGCTGAACAGCATACACCGTATGTTTCAGGGTACACAAATCCTACATACAGGGACTGATTCTTCTGAAGGAAAATTTATATACGGCTACAATACATTAAAATGTCCAGATTACATAATAAAACTTTTTGAAATTCAAATATTTAGTCTTCTAGGATTACTTAGCAAGGCTATAAATAGAAAAAGACAGTAGGTTTATTTTTCTGTATAGAATTTGTTTACCCAATCAGGCTCTGATCTGATGCAGTTGTTGGTCCCCAGTCAGGCCTTTTATCTCTTATTTTTTCAAATACAGCTGGGGAGCTGACACACACAGAGAACAAGGGAATCACCTGGGGTAAATGCTGCCTAAGAGGATTGAACTCACCACTATCCTGGCTCCTGGGCTACAGCTGTCACTGAAGTCATGGTACAACACAAAACTGCAAAATAGAATTTTTTACCAGTATTCACGCTGGGAAGAAACTTGAGCAGATCTTAGTTAACAAGTCACATTTCAGAGACTGGTAAGCACTTATCTTTATTCCAATTGGACAAATCAAAACTCAGAGCAAAGTTCCTTCGTTCCTTCCTTCCCCAGCTGTGCTTTAAAAAGATACTATCACTAAGATGCAACTCAATTTTTGAAAGAGAATTTTACTCTGAAGAGGATGGTTGAAAAGACTCGTTTCCAAATCTGTTGATTTAACAAATATATGCTGATGTCAATGATGCATCTTTTATGAACTTTCTGTCATTCACTAGTCTTGTCTGTACTGGAAAAGGAGCAGATGATATCCCCTCCCATCTACTCACTCATTCCATACCTCCTTGTCTGGCAATAACAATGGAAATTCTTCTTGCCTAACAGCACACAACACAACCTTCTCTAATCTCTCATTCTCTTGCCCCTAATTTGAAGGGCTTGCTCTGTGCTAGAATTTACCTACCTTGTTACTGTCTTCTTACTCTGCAGCCTTCTCCACTCTTTTTGATGCTCCCAACCCTTTGCAGCTTGAACCATAACCTCTAGCATTGCTTCCTATCCTGTTTTCAAATCCATTCTTGGCAGACATCTGGGAGACTGAGTTGGTCAGTGCTAATTCAAATACTATACCATATAGTCAGTGGAAAGAAAAACTGTTGCTAACCCAAGCTATGAATGGGGACATGCATCCGTATGTTCTCTAGTATCTTCCTGGCCAGTGATTTATTCTTTCTGAGCTGCCATCTGAGCTACCATTCAAATCCAAGGTTGACATCCCTGCTAAGTCTTGAAGACTACATAAGAGGAAAACATGGGGTTTAAGGTAACATAGCAAACTAGGAGTTCAATGCTGAAGGGAACTCACATTTTCCTCTATGACCATAAAAGCATTCCCATCCTAGGTGAGGTGCAGTCTCTTACAACAGCAGAAGTGAGGGTGACAGGCCATGCCAGATACAATAATGGTAACCTTTCTCTCCTGACTTCTCCAGTGTAAAACTTACACCAACCCTTTCCTCTGGCCCTGAACACATGGAGGACTCACTCTGACCATGCAACTTTCTATGTCTCCCCAGGCAGAGGTGACCACTGCTGTCCACAGTCAGAGATAGCATAGCAGGCAAAGCTGTTAGATCCAGTCAATTTTCAACTCTAGTCCCTTCCTTTCTCCGAGCTGCTGGATCCTGCTATCCCCTCCCCAACTCATCACACCCCCTGCCAGTGCACAGGTTTTGCACACTATCTGCCTTCTGCTGGGTTGAAGCAAGTTGGAAAGGTTGGGTGACCTGCAGCTTCCCCTCACCCTACTGGTTTCAAACAGAGAGCAAAGCAGCAAAAATGATGCCATAAACTACTGCACTTCGGTTTTGTACAGAGGAAAAACAGAGAAAAGAATGCAATTGTAAACTGCGTACAAAAATAATCCTCTGGCTGTGCAGCTCTGCACAGCTACCAGCAGAGCTACCAGGAATGGAACAGTAAAGATGTATGTATTTTAACAGATGCTGCTCCTCTGCAAGAAGTGGAAAGATGAAAATCAGGGGAGCAATATTTCTGCCCTGTTGCTTCTCCTGCCAGAAGGATTTTTCTTGAAATAGGCCACTGAATACAAAGGTGCTCTGATCCATCTCCATTGCGTGTATCACTGCATCTATTTTATCTTTTATTAAGTGAAAAGAAAAATAAAGGGAGATTTGACAAGTCAAGGGGTAGAGATCTCAAAACTGAAGAAAACATTGCACTTACACATGCTCCAGGAATTTAAGGCTGGAAATTTAGCATGAACAGAAAAAAAAACCAATGGAGACTGGGTATTTTGAGAAGGTACTCAAAAACATACTGACCTATTGTAATGAATGATGATACATGTTTTGGGGGAAAGATTTAAATGTCATGTTACAGCCTACTGCCATTGTTAGCTACTAGTCAGGATATGTCATCCACCACCACTCTGTGCTCGCAAACCCAACAGTAGAGTAGCGGTTCCAGACACTGCCTGATACTCAGCTGTGCGGAACCTCTGTCTCCAAACTAAACTGCATTTCCTCATGCAAAGTTCTCCACCAGCATGTGCCTTAACAGGTATACTGAGTTGGCCCCAGAGGAAAAAAACCCCAAACCTGCCCATCTGAGTAGAGCAGAGATATGCCTTAAGGTACAGGAGTGACAGCAGTGAAAGGAAAAATGCTAACACAACTGTGTCATGCTGAATTTTTATTTCAATATTATGCACCTGCATAAGTATAAATAACAGTGTTCAACATACAACAATTATGACATCCATAAGGAGTTTTTTAGAGAAAATAAGACTGCACTTTATTGCACAGACCCTAACAGTTTTTTTTGTCTTTTATTCTGTAAGCTGAGGAATCTACAGCAGAAAGTCTACAAAAGAACACATCAGATCACATAAAACTGACCAAGTAGAACACAGGCAGGAGGATCTCTTAACAGCTCACTGATATGGTAAACACCAACAAACAGGTACTACAAGAATACAAGCTTAAGCACTGTAACACTTTCAAAATGCAAAGAAATTACTTGTCAGAAGTGAGAATGAACTATACAAAATATACATAAAATTATACTGTAAACAAATAGATAGATGTGCTTTAAAGGAAACAAGAGGATAGGTGAAAAAATGCAGAAGACCGTAAACTAGGAAATACCTCCCAGATAGAAATGTTACTTGGAAGTGCATTAGCATTCATTTGTAGTAACTGCCAAAGCACAGATGAACTGTAAATGTTGAGACCATCTTATTTTTATAACTGCTCAAAAAAGTTATCCATTGCTCACTAGCTCCTCTGTGAATGCAAAGGCAGTATGAATGTTCTAGTGACACATGAAAAATCAGAAGGACTTGTTTGTGATATTATCCTTCCATGACAGGTTTGCTCAACTAAACAGTATAGTAGAAGTTTTTACTGAAGGGAAATTAATTCTGCACACTGTCAGCTGTCACACAAACCTCCAGGTCAGGATTACACTGTGCTTTTATGAACTATTATCTAGCTTTTAGAACACTAAAACAACCCGTAAGCCCTGATGAAACAGGCAGGGGCCTAGCTCTAGTCTGGGTACATGTAACAGAAATAAGCAGAAACACCATTCTGTTGATCCCCATCATTCAAAAACACACATTAAGGATATTTTGTAGTGTTTCTGTACATGTTTCAAATTCTACCTTTCATCCCTAAAACAAACTAAATAACTCCACACTAAAATGATTAAAGTCTACATGTTCCACAGTATATAAAGTGTAAATAAGGCTTAGCAAAAGTAAAGACAGTCACATTCTAGCACCAAATAGCTCCAACAGTTTCCTTTGTTACAAAATGTTGCTTTTTTAATTACAGTATTTACCTTTTTTTTTTTGCATACAAATAAAAAGATTATGTTATGAAATGTATGGAGCTACTCAATGCATTTAGAAATGAATGTGTAACCCAGAATCACTTGCCAAACCCAGCAAGTTAGATCTACAACATAAGGCCCCAGCTATGTATTAAAATGTATCGGATGTCCTGATCTTTTCTAAAGGTACTGAAACTGCTTTTTTTTTTTCCTTTTTACCTTTCTTGTCATAAAATAGAAAAAAGCTACAGCTGTATGATGCTAATTGCCCTATATGCCTTCATAGTATGTATTCTCTAAATGTATTAAAACCAGGGGTGAACATACTAGTACTGCAAGTATGTGCTTATACTTGTGCCTCATACTGTAAGGGTCTGAATTTAAAAAAGCTCAAGGAATTCAAGAGAGTTGCAGCAAAAACTGAGCACACAGTGTGTGCTTTAGAGTTTCAGCCTTGTCTGGGATAAGGATCAGAGAACCCACACCCAAGAGACAAGACAAGAACCGTCATTTCACCAGAGAACATGACTTGTGCTGGCATGCCCTGATAACCAAGTGGTCCTCCTATAGCTTTAATGACACCTACTCAAAGACAGGCTCTGTGCAACTGTGAGATGCAATTCGGTCTTTTGTCAGATCTGGTGAAGCAGTCAGCCAGGCACAGTACTATCAAAATTGGATTATTAAAAATACATGTAAAAATTCATACTAAGTCACCACATTTATTCTGTACGAGTATTTTTTTAACCCTTAGTTAGGACTTTTAATAAACAGAAACGTGGCTTGTTTTCATTTTCCAGATAGACCAATGCTAATGTATGTCCACGCCAGGTCTAAGTTTTAATAATTCAGTTTCATATTTGAGTATGGCAAATAAGTGGCAAAGCAACTATCTTAAAAAAGGTATTTTTTTTAACAAAAAAGTTGCAATCAGCAGCAAAGTATATATGCTACATTCAAACCCCAAACACATTGCTAAGTATTTACAGAAAAAAACACCTTTTCTTCAACAGCTCTCAGCTGTAAAGGTATTTTTGTACAAATACTATATGGTAACAGTTTTACCGGTTACAATTGTGAAGGCATTTTGAAAAAAGTCATCTCTTTATATATCCCCTTGTCTTCTTTCTTCAGTGACATGAAAGCTTTGCCACACAAAGACACTACACAGT